GGCAGCTTTCCAGCCACTCTTCCCCAAGCCTGTAGCGCTGCATGGGGTTGTTGTGGCCGAAGTGCAGGACCCGGCACTTGTCCTTGTTGAACCTCATACAGTTGGCCTGGGCCCATCGATCCAGCCTGTCCAGGTCCCTCTGCAGAGCCTTCCTACCCTCGAGCAGATCAACACTCCCGCCCAACTTGGTGTCGTCTGCAAACTTACTGAGGGTGCACTCAATCCCCTCATCCAGATCATCAATAAAGATATTAAACAAGACCGGCCCCAGTACTGAGCCCTGGGGAACACCGCTCGTGACCGGCCGCCAACTGGATGTAACTCCATTCACCACATCACCCACAGCTCTGCCTTAGTACGTAACCAGCTGGACCTCTGCCAGTGCTGCTGCCCAGCACCATGACCCGCCCTTGTCAAGGAAGCAAGTGCACGGCTTCTCTTTGCCCCCGTATTTCTTGATTTGTTAAGAGAGTGAATCACTGCCTTTTGCTAGTTCTGCCTGTACAAAGGATCTATCTCATTCTCGGCTCCCAAGATTTGCTGCTAAGAAATCACGTCCCAAAGAAGCTTGACAAAAGGGAAACTGAGGCAGCAAAGGGAAATTCAGCCAGAGGCAGGCTTAAAAACCAAGAACTCCTTCATCCCACAGTCCCTGTAATTTTTCTAAGCTATTTGGGCCTAACAGGACATTTTCTGGCTGGGGAGGTGCTGTTTTTTTCTTTCTTCTTACTCCTAAATCTGAAAACTGGGGTTCCTCAGTAGAAAGCCCACGTCTGGAAAGCTCCAACCATAATACAGCACTCAGACCTGCTGTCCTGTTCCAGATGTGCTCCCTCCACAGGCTTGGTGGCCTTCCATAGCCATGTGCAGGGAACAGGCACCTCTGCAGGCAGGAGTCTCCTCTGTCATGGGATTCACATGGACTAACTCTGTCCATCTAAATGCAAGGTTAGGACAGTTGTCTGGGCTCATGAGACAGTCAAGAGAGACTGAACCTGCAGCTGAACCTGAACTTGAGAACTTGCAAAAATGAAACCCTGCAGTCTTAGCCTAAAATGAAGGCAGATGCAACGCACTGTCTGTCCTTGCTTAAGTGTCAAACCAGCTGATGAATCCTTCAGGACTTAAAAACACATAGAAGCAGGGCAACAGCTATGGTGCAGCCCAGTGAGAAGGAGAATGAGCAAAGCAAGTCACTGACGCTCTGCCCTGGGCTGGGGAGAGTAATTAGCTACAGGAAAGTGGACTGAGGTCAAGTGTTAAGTGCTGCAGAGGCTGGATGTTACCATTTGTGCATCTTCACAACTGCTGCTGAAGCAAAGCCAAAACAGCATGAACACTGGGCTCCCCACACGATCCACAGCACAATGAACTGGAGCCACACCAGGCTCCTGGGGGCTCACTGGAAAGCCCCTGGGATGCGCATGAAGAAACTTCCCATTATTGCTTTCCCTGCCTGCAGCAGAGAGGAATGTTGTTGGAAGCTACTGGATCAATCCTAACCCATGCAGACTTTGGGACTGATGGCAGTGTCAAGCTGCAGCCTCTCTGGGGTAACAGCATGGCCAGAAGGACCACTTTCAGTTTTTGAAAGTTGTTCATAAGCTGCAGCAACTTGTCCCTCCCTCCTCAACTCAGCATTGCATCCTGGACACAGCCATCCTCTGGTTGCAGGACACTCTCATACACACCTACAGCAAGTCATTGCCTGAGGGAAGGAGGTCTCCCATGTGGTTGGGTCTGCTTGGGGCTTGGATGCCAGGCAATGGGCACACCAAGAAATGAGACACAGATGGTAAATGTGTCTCATTTCCTTGTAGTTTAACCTTGGTTGCACCACACGGGAAAATCTGTTCATCTTGGCTTCATCCAGACCCATAAATCATCTCATGTTCTATGAGTCACTGGCATTGAAAGCCTATTTAGCAATGTCAGCCTCTGCTTTGGCTATTAGGTGCTAATTATTTACATTAGCAAGCATCAGTCAAAGGAAATGACACCATTATGGGCTGTATATCAATGCTAAAGAAGTTTGTCATGAGGAGTGGTGGTGAGGAAGACTAACAGGACAGAGTGATGCTGAGCTGCCATTTTCTGGAGCTGAGGGCCATTGTGATAATATAGGTCACAATCAAACTCTACAAAATAATTAATGTAGATGCTGTTGTCATTCAAGTCTCCCCTGATTAGATCATCATCTGTCCATCCCCCCAAATCACGATCAGAGCAGACAGGCAGCAAATTGACTGAGACAAATGAAAGCAGAGAAGGAGTAAAGCGCTTAGCACTTAGGGGCAGGGGCATTCCCCCCACCCCCCCGCCCCCAAT